AAATTCCTTGAATAATCCAACCTCTGAAAATCACTGGATAAGAAGTTGATTGGCTTGGATCACTTTCTCTCTCCTATCTCTCTTGGACTTCAATTGGAGAGATTTGGAGCTGGAGAAGGCTAGGGATTGCTTGTGAGGGGCTTAAAGGATTTCTAGGAGTCTACATGTTGCAATTGATCAACCCTTCCTTTAGAAAATTTAAGGATATTTATAGGAGAGAGAATATACAATCAAGGACCAAGATATTGCCACCTAAGCATTGACCAACCGCCATTTCAATTGGGGACTATCTAATAAGAGACAAGGGAAGGTTCTAGAGAGTTTGAGCTTAATGGGACAATTGGCTAGTCAGTTAGGAGTATACCAATGATTGGAGAGAGTTTATTTTGAGGAATTTGGTCACATCAGCAGTTTATATAGTTGGATCATGACATGTCATGTGCAAGGAACATTCTATAGCACAATTCAAATGTTTACAACAACCAATTTGTGTTGGGTTGTCAATTGTCCCAAGAATTTAGGTTTTGGAGGGTTTGGTTCAGCCTAATTGGTAAACCTAGGTCAACCATGGGTTGGGCTTGTTGCGTCATGTGTATGGAGTTAAGGGACACCTACTACAATCATTATATAATTTAATTCTATAAGGATCGGCTTTTGGCTTAAGAAAACCCCTTTAGGTGCATTTAGTTCAACCTATGTGGCTAAACCAGATGGGCCTAGGGGATGGAACTCTTTCGGGAGACTCATCCCTAGGAGTTTGGTTCATTAGTTTGATCAGATTTGTTGGTTTTGAATTTTTTTATGTGTGTTTTGATCAACTATATTTGATGAGAGGTCAATGTGGGGTCCAAATCATTCCAAATATGATTTAGAACTTGTTGGAATAGGTTTCATGTAATGGAGGAGGTCATTTGGTGTAAAATAGAAGTTTAAAGGTTTAAGGGACCCCTTAGTAAGCAAGCGTTGCTTGGTCAACCAAGGATGACTATGGGTTGAGATTTGATTCAATGCATTGCAAATGATATTTTGAGTTTTTGGAGGTGGTCCCAAGATTAGGTGGGGTCTCCATGCATGAAATACAATTTTTAAGGCTTAAGGTGTCTTTTGGTCAACCTAGCTTGACTTGGTTAGCCAGGGTTTATCAAAACTAAAGGTTGATTTGAATGCACTCCAAATCACATTTAAAATGTGTTGGAAGAGGTTTAAAGGTTTGGTTTGACTGAGCCATGTTGAAGTTAAAGTAAAATTTAGTTCTATGAGGTTTTAGGATTTAGGGTTTCAAGGGTTTTATGGTCAACCATGGTCCACCAAGAGCTCAATATTGGTTTAATGCATCATGCTAATGACAATGATCATACTCAGTGGATTTGGGGAGGCTTCCAAGATCATGAACAACAATATAATATGTCCAGTGGCATAGACAATAAGTATTTGAAGGTTTTACAACCTTGGAATATGCTTTGAGTTTATTGTGCTAGAGGATTAGAATGCCTCCAAATTGATATAGCTGACTCTAGAGGTATGTCTAATCAATATGCAACTGACTGATCATGAATCCAAGGTCATTTGGTTAGGTTTTGAGGTATTTTATTTTTTTTTCAAAAATAGGTTATGGACCAACGGGTTTTGGGTTTAAATTTAAGCATTGGATTTTGAAGTTTGAAGTTTGCATTGGGTTTAACAATAGATTTGTTATAAATTTGATTTTCTTAATGATTTGGAAGAGTTGTAGACTTGACATGTTCATATGGTTGACAATCATTGATGGTTTTCAGTGATTGAACATATGATCAAGTGACAATCACTAGTGATTGCCAACTGATGGGTTTAAAATTTAATTTAAGTTTGAGTTCTGAATTGATTAATGAAGGTCAATGATTAAGAGAGTTTTGTTTTGCAATGAGCATATCAATGACAATCATTTGGTGATTGTTAAGTGACTGATCATATAATTAAATAAAAATTAAAGGTAACTATCAAGTGGTGATTATAGAGGTCAATGATCATATCACTATGCCAAAGCACATTGATGAATTGGATTTGAGGTTTGGAATGTAGTTCAATGATTGGTGTACAAAAATTAGATGTTTGATATTGGAAATTGTCCTCACTCAAAAATGAGATCAACAACATTCTTCACACTTTATCTTAGGCTAATTGGTGTTACAAGGTTTATGATTCTATTTAGGCTAATCTGATAAGATCCTTTTACCCTTTCTGGAGAATTTTGCATAACTATGCTCACAAATGAGACACATGATGAATTTCAAGGTTGGCCCTACATGTTGCCTCTCCTTCATCTTTGATCCTTAGCTAGAGGGATTGTCATTAGTGTAAAGATATGGGCAATAGGCTTTACATTCTTCATTACCACCCTATAGCTCTAGTTTATGACTTTATGATTGATGATCACTAGTCTCTTCCTTATTGCATTGTTAATGAGATTGTGAAATAGATTTTTCTCACTAATGTCATGATAGCCACTTTTCTTGTTTTTGGTTGGGGAATTTTTTTTTTTAATTTTAATAAATTACTTTACACTAAACTTTATGATAGTTTTCCTAAGGTAATATGGCACAAATATGTAGGATTTAAAGGTTTTGCAATCAATTATGTTTTCTTCACCTAGAAAATTATCAAAGAGGGTCTCAAGACCATTGATGCTCTTCTTAAAAGGGATTTCATGGTTGATGATAAGTATGCATTATCTAATCTTCCAAAGGAAAGCAACAAACATATTTTCTTTGATTGTTTGTTTTCCTTCAACATCCTTAGGCATTGGCATTCTTGTTAAGAATTTTTTTTTTCTTTTTCAGTTTGGTATCCCTTTGAAGCGAATTCTTAATCACTCTGATAAAATTAATTACAAAACTAGTAAGAGGTTCTTTTTGTTAAGTGTGTAGATTACAACATATTATATTTGGCAAGAAAGAAATAATAGCATTTTTAAAAATAAAGTTTCTTCTAAAATATCATTATTGAGAAAATAAAATTTCAATCAAATCTAAGAGCAGGAGATGGAAAATCAACTATGGCTTGCCTACTCAACTATATTTCTCATAATTTGATTCTTGGCTAACTTGGTCATTCCTCTTAATTTTCTTGTTGGATTACAGTTTCTCCTATGCTTGTATCCCAGGCCAGTTCACATTAGGTGTTACTTTTTTGGATATAGGCTTTGACAACTATTATTTCTCTGAACAAATGCATAAGCCTTATATCTACCACCTTTGATGGCATCTTTTATTATTTTTTGTTCATTTTGTTGATATTATATAGGCTATCTTGAGCCATGTTCTATAGTTTGTTATCTTATGTCTTATTTTTCAATCATATGTAAGGTTATGGTTATAAGTTATAAGTTAGCATATTCCAGAGATATAAGGTAACTTTAAAGCCTCAAAATTTATATATATATAGGAATTATATACATACATACATAAATTTATTATGCATTTAAATATATAAAATCTAAATCTTTATATCTACTTATATAACACCTTAGTATTTAAATAATAATCAAAGCATATGCATAAATATATATATTATTTTAAATAAATTAATATTAGTGTTATTTTTTTATTTAGTTTAAATATTTGAGGATAATACTTAAAGAATTTTATGGTATGAATGTAAATCCCCCTCAAAAAGTTTGGTGATAATAAAGATACATTTGAGGATTAATACAAAATTGAACGAGAGCATGGAGAATAAAGTCAAAATCAACATTAATAGGGAAAAGACTAGTGATCATCATCCAAAGTTAAAAAATTTATTATTTCCTTCATCAAGATCATCTCCTAATCCATAATCCTCTTTATCACCCTCATAATTTTTATTTTTAGTTGCAAAAATATAAAACTTTGACCAAGATTTCATTTCTTTGTCATTAGATTGCTCTCAAATATTATAGTTTTATCATTAAAACAAATGGATTTTGTAATTTTCCATGATTAGATCCAACACAATCCGTATGTCCCAAAGGTTCATATTAGGTTAGATGCATAACAAAGGATTCACCCAAGATCAGATTGAAAAGAATTTCTTTTCATCTTCAATTTTAGTATTTTACAATAGAGCCACTAAATCATTAATATATAGAAATAAAACAAAAACATCATTCAATACGTAAAAAATATCCACAACTCATATCTATTAATATCGATACATAAACATATACGGAACATACATCTGTACTCAATGCAAAGAAGTAGAACAATATGTATGTTATCATGTATTGAACCATGAAAGCCAGTCATGTGCTAAATTAATGTTTCTATATGTTATCATTATATATGTATCATAAACAGTGCAGACATGATCAAGATCATTATGTTAGAATCATATGAACATGTGTTATAAAAAAAAAATGTACGTGTTCTAAGCAATGTTATCATGACCATGACTTTTATATTAAAGTCATACTCTATTTAGGGCATTGTATCATATATATAATTTCATTGATTCATATCATATTTAACAATTCATATCTTCATGTGTAAGGTTATATCCAAATATGCATATATTGACATGAGTATATCAATAAAAATAAGGCATAATCACATGTGTCATATCAGTACACCATTATAGATATCATGTATATATTATATGAGGTCAATCATATCAATAGGAGTGGTCATCATGAATGTTAGTACAATTATGTCATGTGTCATTACTGTCAACCCATATTATAATGAATGTTAATATATCATCATCATGTATGTATGTGTGTGTGTGTATATATATATATATATATATCTATCTTAGATGGTATAATGTATAAGAGTCATCACTCCAATCATAATTATATCATATCCCTTTATACCTTTCATCATATTATGCATCGGATTCACACTATTAACCTTATATTTAAAGAAAGCCTATTAGGCCACCCTCCTATAGAAGGTATCATATCTCAACCTAAATCATATAGTAATCAGCCTTTTTTCACAAACACATTGCACAATCATAATTATATTGAATAAAAAATAGCAAACAAAAAAACAAATTAATTGGTTATGTCATTTAGCCGCTTCTAGACAAATGAAAATTTTCAGTTTCAAGTAGAAGGCGAAAATAAATACTCTCATAACATGCAGAATATTTATGATTTTATTTTCCAATTAGTATTGCTCACAACTGTTCAGTTTCCAAAAATAAGCAAATGGATTATGAAGTTCAAAGGAAATAAACCCTAAACGAAATATAAATATAAAGTTTTTTTGGAAATGGAAATCATGATTGTGGAAGCTGACATCTGTAAATTTCTTCTGCAGATTGAGAGGGAAGCATTGGAGAAAACCTTATGGAGAAGGAATAAGGCATTGGATGAACCAAGTACTCGTCATGAACACTGGGAGACCAACTATCATCACCACCCAATCCCATGTGCTTATGGTCAAGATGTACCTAAAATTTACAAGAAAATCAATACAGAGATAAAATAATATGAATACAAATGAATATGAACAAGTGGTGGAAGAAAATAATAATGAAGGTTGCTTTCATGTACCTCTATGTGATTTCCTCTCAGCAAGTCTTCATTATGAGTAGCCCTATCGAGTTCAGCAGTAGTGTAGTAGCTTGCACTCATCTGCATGGGTGGTGATGTGCCAAAAGCAGAAGCAAAGAGCCCAAATCCACCAATATTCTGAAATGATACCCATCTGATATCAGCTCGCCCCGAGCATTCACCGGGAACAATGTATGGCACATGCAAATCTGCCACATTAGCTTCATATATGCCTAAATGAGCAGCTTCCTTTCGATCAGGATAACATTCAAATGGCCCTCTGCCATACCATCTGACTTGATTCAATGATTGTTCCAAATGGAAGACTACACCGATGCGCGGTAGAGGAGGAAGATCACTGTTGGGGTTCAGTTTGTAATCAATGATTAGATCACCAGATGCATAGACCCAGTAACTCACATCAACTCTGAAAAGTATCAAGTTATTATTGCTCGCATTCCTGGAATTTCTCTCCTTATCATAGTTTCTGGGAACACCAAAGTAGCTAGTTGTAACCAGGAGAACATCATCTGTCTTCTTATCTATTGAGCAATGATTTGTTTGAAATAAAATATCATCCAGAAGAGCATCTTTCCACCTTGAGGCATAGCTATAAGGACCACCTCCTTTGTCATTATCAGTGGGAGCTCGCCAGAAACAGGGAAATATTCCTTTGTCCGTTAGCAGGCAGCCTTCAACCTTCAAGGCATTCAGAGTTTGGAAAATGTATTTTTCTCATTCTAAGAGTAGTAATTTACCAATGCCCAGGACAGAAAAAATCAGACTGATTATGGAGATATAAAATAGAAATGATCGATGTCTCGTAAGTTCAGAGAAAAATTCATTACACAGTTCTTATTATGAATGGCTATAAGCTTGGCAGAAAGGCACCATAGATATGCAGTTATATAGAATGTTAACAGCAAAATATCAAATATAAAACAAAACAATTTCTAGAAATCTGCATTCATTTGGAATTTAGGATTATTTCTCAACAAACTTTTGAGGGAAACCTAATTTATGCCCCAAAATATTTACACATTGAGTTCTCTTATTGCAGATATGCATTTATAGATGTTTTTTGTTTTAAGTTGATTCATCTAGTGATCTGATCTGAAGTTCAGACTAATAATAGAAAATTGAACTTCATCAAAATATATTTTTTATATTTTTCTTTTCAACAAGGTCAGCATATAAGGTTATTAAGATCCTTCAATCTCTTCAAGCAAGTATGTGGCCCAAAGTAGGTAAAGAGCTTTAATCTTGGACATGTCATGGTTTAAAATTGCGCAACTAGAGGCGTGCCCGCGCCTTAGCGCAATTCAACCGTATAACACGTCAAGGCGGACGCTCCGACCCAGTTTCGTACGCCTCAAATCAACAGAGGCGTGCCTTGAGGTGTGCCTCACCTCACTTCAACAATCACCTCCAAAAAAATTGTTAATACATTATTTAAAACCAAAACCTAATATCTGAGTGAATACAATATTTCTATATCTCATTCCTATCAATTTGTGTCCAAGCTTTCATGAATGCTTTTCCACGGCCTAGAAGTGAATCGACCATCTCTATCTAAAACAATAACTTTTGGGATACCATACAATCTAACCATTTCCTTCACATACAAGCATGTCAATTTGTCTACTGAACAATTTGGTTAATAGGCAATAAATGATCTGCTTTAGTTAGTCTATAAATAATCACCCAAATGATGTTATGCCCCTGTCTGGATCTGAGAAATCTCACAATAAAATCCATTACAATATCTTCCCACTTCCACACAGGACAGGTAGTGATTGCAATAGTCCACTAGGTCGCTGATGTCCATCTTTCATAATTTGACAAGCTTCACACTTATATACATATTTAACAAACATGTTTCTTCATAACTAGCCACTAGAAAGTAAATTTCAAATATTTATACATTTTGGTACCACCTGGATGAGTTGTGTAGCCAGAGTGATGAGCTTCCTGCAAAATATCCATTTTTAATTCTGGATCACTGGATACCCACAATTGAGACTCATGCTTAATGATTTCATGAGTATGAACAAAAAGATTTTGATCTTTTCCTTTACTGAGCCGGCTTCAATAATTTTGGATGCTCACCATCAATCTTTTGAACTTCTTTAATACGATCTATTAAAGTTGATTTTACTTTCATCTGATGTAAGTATTTCACAATTTTAAAATCTCTAACCTCCAATTGTAGATTCTCAATTTTCTTGATCAACTGAACCTCTTGAGTAATCAACAAATTCATCATTCTTGTAGATTTGCAACTGAAAGCATTGAACACAATGTTAGCTTTCTTCAGAACAATACTGAATATCCACATCATAATCCTTGATTAGCTTCAATTATCTTCTCTACCTCAGGTTTAGTTCTTTCTATGAAATTATGTATTTTAAGCTCTGATGATCAGTAAAGATTTCACATCTTATCCTATACAGATAATGCCTCCAAAATTTTAAAGCAAACACCACTACTGCCAGCTCTAAATAATCAGTAGGATAATTTCTTTCATGTGGGTTCAATTGCCTCAATCCAAGTGCAATTACCTTTTTGTTCTGCATTAAAATACATCCTAAACTCTTCAAAAAAGTATTACTGTAAATCTGAAATTCTTTTATTCGTGATAGAGTTGTCAATAATGGTGCTGTAGTCAGATACATCTTTTCTTCTCACATTTTGCAGTCCATTCAAATTTAACATATTTTCTCATCATCTTGGACAAGGGCATGGAAATTTGTGAGAACCACTTAACAAGCCTTATGTAATATCTAGCCAAATCCAAAAAGCTACGAATCTCTATAACATTATTTCATGTGGGCCATTCCAAAATTGCTTTCACCTTCTGTGGATCTACTGAAATCCCTTCACCACTAATAATATACCGTAAGAAAAAAAAAATATTTTTGAGCCAAAATTCACATTTTGAATATTTTTCATAAAGCTGATTTTTCCCCAATATTTTCAAAACTATCCTTAAATACTCAGCATGCTTATCATAAGTCTTGAGTATATCAAAATGTCATCAATGAAAATAATCACAAACTGGTATATATAATCCTTGAAAACCAAATCCATCATATCTATAAAAATAACAGGAGCATTTAACAACCCAAAACGCATGATTAAAAACTCAAAATGATCATATATAGCCTCAAAAGTTGTCTTACTTACCTCTACTTCTTTAACCCTCACTTGAAGTTCCCTTGATCTCAAATCAATTCTAAAAAATGTTGTGGCACATTGATGCTATCAAATGTTTATGTAATTTTATTTTTATTTGAACAATAGTATATTTTATGTTCTTTTCTTTTTTTTTAGCTATCCAATAATGGGAAAGCATCCAATGATCATAGTAGGTTGTGCATGAGGCTTGGTAGACCTTTGGTTTGCTGACTTGATTGGTCCATTTACTACTGCTGGTTCACAGGTTGATTGGAGGAGGTTTGGATGGAGCTCATTCTCTTAAGTTGCTTGAACTGAAGTTTAGTAGCTCATTATTGTCCAAAAGGTAGCTCATTATGAAGGATTCATTGATGGGGTGGACTTGCCCCTTCTCCTTCCCCTTTCTTCTTGTCTCTTGGAAAACTGTGGCTTGTTTTAATGAAGGAAGGGAGTTGATTATTGTGAGCAAAATTGCTATTGACCTGCGGGTTATTGGAAAAGCTTGCGAGCTTTGTCCGCCTTCTTTCTCATCCCCTCCGGAAATCTTGCGAGCTCTTTTCAACCTTTCGTCTCGACTTCTAACGTCTTTCGTCTTTCCGCAAGTGCCACTCCATCTGTATCCTTCTTCTCAAAGTGAAGCAACTTTAGGGTGTCGCGTCTTGGTTGATTTGGAAGCATTTGTTAGAGAAATTGGACAATCTTGCAGTGCTGGACCATCGGTTTGGTAGTCTTATGTACTTATCTTATTTACCCTACAATTCGATGCATGTGAGGAACCCGCTCTGACGGTTGTCTAAGGATAACGTCTTTTATTTTTCTTTATTTCCTTAAAATCTCTTAGTGTTTTCTTGTTGGATTTTGAAGTTTTAGTTATTTGCTTTTATTTTAATAAAGTTTGGTTTAAGTTCTATCCATTGTTCTCTTTTATTTTAATACTTGATGAATTACCAGCTGGTTACCCCCAATGAGAAGCATTCAACATCATATTGATCTAATTCCTGGACCTACATTGCCAAATCGTTCACATTACAGAATGAGTCCAAAAGAACATCAAGAGCTCTCTAAGCAAGTGTCTGAACTATTAGAAAAGGGATTAATCCAGGAAAGTCTAAGTCCTTGTGTTGTGCCAGCTTTGTTTACTCCTAAAAAAGATGGAACTTGGAGAATGTGTGTAGATAGTCGAGCCATAAATAAAATAACCATCAAATATTGGTTTCCAATTCCTAGGTTAGACGACATGCTTGATATGCTAAGTGGTGGTAAAATATTCTCAAAAATTGATTTGAAAAGTAGGTATCATCAGATAAGGATTAGACCTGGAGATGAATGGAAAACTGCTTTTAAAATCAAAGAGGGCTTATATGAATGGCTTGTTATGCCTTTTGGGTTGTCTAATGCTCCGAGTACTTTCATGTGAACTATGAATCATGTCTTGCAACCTTTTATTGACAAATTTGTGGTTGTGTATTTTGATGATATTCTGATTTACAGCATTCACCAATGTGATCATCTTTTACATGTCAAAGAGATTCTGAAAACTTCGATAGAGCAAAAATTGTACATCAATTTAAAAAAATGTTCTTTTTTTGACTTCGAGTTTGACGTTCTTGGGTTACATTATATCTACTAAAGGAATCAAAGTAGATACTGTGAAAATCGAAGCAATAAGAAACTGGCCTATTCCTAAAAATATTAGTGAGGAAAGAGATTTTCATGGGTTAACATCTTTTTATCATCGATTTGTTAAAAACTTCAGTGTTGTCATTGCTCCTATCACTGATTGCTTAAAGAAAGGAACTTTTAACTGGACCCCTGAAGCTGAAAATACTTTTCAACTGATCAAACTAAAAATGAGTCAAACTCCAATTCTTAGCCTACCAAATTTCGAAAAGGTTTTTGAAGTCGATTGTGATGCTTCACATATTGGTATTGGTTCTGTTTTGAGTCAGGAAGGGAAGCCTATTGCATATTTTAGTGAAAAATTAAATGACGTTCGATCTAGATATTCTACTTATGACTTGAAATTTTATGCTATTGTTCAAGCTTTGAAATTCTGGATATGTTATTTAATTCATCGAGAATTTATTTTAAACACTGATCATAAGGCTTTACGATTTCTGGGGTAAAAAAAATCTGAACAAAAGACACGCCAAATGAGTTTCTTTTACAGAAGAATACTCTTTTCTCATAAAACATAAGACTGGGGCTTTAAATAAGGTTGCTGATGCTTTAAGTCGAAGGTCTCACTTGTTAATAATTGTTTTTCCGACTGTTACTTCTTTTGAATTTTTGAAAGATACTTATGCAAATGATTATGATTTTAAAAATATTTGGGATGCTTGTTTTGCTTCTGGAACTGATCCTTCTGCTCAGTTTGTGATGCATCAAGGTTTTTTATTCAAAGGAACTAGACTTTGCATATCAAAAGGTTCATTAAGAGAACAACTTGTGAAAGAATTGCATAGTGGAGGTTTGAGAGGACATTTTGGACAAGGAAAAACAATTGCTTTAGTTGAAGAAAA